GCCTCCCCTCGACCTCTGCTTGAAAAAGGGGGAGTTCTCCCTCTACCCAGCGGGGCACTACCAGACGCCCCTGGGTTACGAGCGGATAACGACGTTCGACAGCAGCGGGAACGTGGAAGAGGTGTGCCGGCCTCGCACCAGGATGCTCTGCGCCCAGAGCACCTACACCCTGCCGGGGCCCGGCAGCTCCGCCACCTTGCGCATCACCGCTGCCGAGAAGAAGATGCAGCAGCCCTGCACCAGCGCCACCCTGAACCGGCTCACCGTCCCCCGTTACTCCATCCCCACCGGGGACCCGCCGCCCTACCCCGACATCGCCAGCCAGCTGTCCCAAGGCAGGAGCATCGCGCAGAGGCTGGACAGCAGTATCATTCACGCCACTCTGCGGAGGAACAGCAGGGAGGCAGCCCTGAAAATGGCTCAGCTGGTGGACGGTCAGAGAGCCACCTTGCAACTTCCCCCCAAAGCCAAGAGCAGCGTCGTGACGGCGCAGTACCAGCAGAGAGTACCCACCGCCTTGTACACCTGCAGCCAGTGCAGCAGCGGCGGCGGCGGCAGCAACGCGAGTGCTGGGGGTGTGAGCAACATCACTAGTGCCAACGCCAGTAGCAGCGCTTCCAGTATCGGGGGCATGAGACCCGATCTGAGCGCGGGGAGCGGCGCCCAGCACAGCTCCGTCATCGCTCACTCTGTCAGCACTTCGCCTCTGGCCTCCCAGTCCTCCTACAGCCTGCTGAGCCCCCCTGACAACTCCCGTGACCGAGCGGATTATATCAACTCCGCCTTCACGGAGGATGAGGCCCTTTCTCAGCACTGCCCGGTGGAGAAATCGATACGGCACGTACCCGTGGCCTTGACGGAGGCTGCCCTCGGTGTAAAACGGCCACCGCCGTACCAGTGGGACCCTATGGTGAGTGAAGAGATATGGGTTCCTCAGGAAAGGACATCTCAGAGCTCAGTGCCCAACCCTCTAAAACCTACTCCTCTCATCATCGGTCAAGCTCAACATCTGGATATGTCTCGAATGCCGTTTGTTTCCCCCAAGTCTCCAACCAGTCCCACTGCCACTTTCCAGACGAGTTACGGGGTTGGAGTACCTTACCCAGGAAGCTACAGTGCCCCTCCCCTTCAGGGAATGCAGCCCCCTTGCTCCCCCAAAGAAGCTCTGGCCCCGACACAGTTTGCACAGCAGGAGCCCACAGTTGTGCTTCAGCCAGGTTATCCATCCAACCTCTCCTATTGCCCCTTGCCACCCATGTACCCGGGAAGTAGCGCCTGCTCTAGTTTACAGCTGCCACCGATCGCCTTGCACCCGTGGAGCTCCTACAGCACTTGCCCACCTGTACAGAACCCCCAGGGCACGTTGCCTCCCAAGCCGCTCCTCGTGGTGGAGAAGCCGGTGATGTCTCCCCCGCCGGCAGAGCTGCAGGGCCACGTGGGCACAGAGGTGATGGTGGAGACGGCAGACACTTTCCAGGAGGTGCTCTCCTTGACGGAAAGCCCCGTTCCTCAAAGGACGGACAAATTTGGCAAGAAGAGCCGTAAGCGCCTGGACAGTCGAGCCGAGGAAGGAAACGTGCAGGCTATCACTGAGGGCAAGGTGAAAAAGGAGGCAAGGACGCTGACTGACTTCAATTCACTGATATCCAGTCCTCGGCTGGGGAGGGAGAAGAAGAAAGTCAAGAGCCAGAAAGACCAGCTGAAGTCCAAGAAGCTAAACAAGACAAACGAGTTTCAGGACAGTTCGGAGAGCGAGCCAGAGCTTTTTATCAGTGGGGATGAACTGATGAACCAGAGCCAGGGCAGCAAAAAGGGTTGGAAAACCAAAAGGAGTTTGAGGACAGCCAGTGAGCTGGATGAATTCAAGTGCCGGAAGGCCAGCGAGAAGGAGGACGGGAGGCTGGGGAGCCAGGGCTTTGTGTACGTGATGGCCAACAAGCAGCCACTGTGGAACGAGGCGACACAAGTCTACCAGCTGGACTTCGGAGGGCGGGTGACCCAGGAGTCGGCAAAAAACTTCCAGATTGAGCTGGAAGGACGCCAGGTAGGAGGGGGTGCCACACGCAAACTGGGGTGAGGGATGGGGTTGGGAAAGCTGGGCCAGAAATTACTCTGCCTGTCAAGCAACCGAGTGCCTCCTGCTCTGTGAAAAAAGAAACACTTTGCCACGTGGTTGATAAAAAACAGCCCTCAAAGGTATAGATTGAAAACGGAGGGTGAAGTTCTCTCTGCTCTCTCTCTCACTGCTGAAGGTAGGTGGGTTTTGTAATAAACACAACAGGTCTCCCCAGCGGTAGCTGCGTTTGCCATCGGTGGGTGTGGATGGCACCACTGTGCCATCACTGTGCACCACTCAGTTCACTAGCAGAGTGAACACTGCTCCCTTCTTGCAATGCTCACAAAGGTTAGCCAGTCAGCAAACAAATATGGTTCCTTCCATGCCAAAATTTCCCCTTGTTGGGTTACCAGGCTGGTTCTTAATGCTAGAGGGGGGAGGCACTGATCTTCCCCAGAACAGGGTGCTCCTGGGCTATTTCTGAACTTCCTGTGAGTAGAGGGGTCTGTGGATAGTTCCAAAAATCAAAAAAATTAATTTAAGGCTCTCTCACCTCTGGGATTCTACTACACCAGACACAGACTATTAAGTGGTATCAATCAGCAGGACACCGGACTGAGACTCAGGAGACATGTATTTATTTCCTCGTCCAGCTGTCCCATCTCTGTAAGTCACTTTTGATTTATTAAAGACATCAAGGCTCTCAAGGCCCTCTGATTTAACTTGGGAGTTAGATGTCTTAAATATCCGATGTGCATGACTGATGGTAGTCTCTTGGTTTTGTTTATCTGTAACAACAGCTCATTAAAAAGGCCGTGATAAGAGCCATGTGCATCTTTCTTCTTCAGTTAAATGGCCGTGGATACGTGCCGGTGGACAGCTGGGCAAAATCACCCAGCCACAGGTTTTGCTGGTTGAGGAACAAAGCCTGACGTGGCTTCCATGGACAGCCTCATGTGAGAAACTGGACATGGTCCCTCCTGGACCAATCGGACCGGGACCTAACACCTTCATTCTAGCTCAAGGAACTCTAGAACAAATACCATCTGGGCTTCTGAGGAAGCGAGTGGAAAAGCAGTAATAATAGGCTAAACTTCAGATATTCCCTGTGGAAGAACAAAGAGGAACCTAACTAGCCTTGCTTTACATTTCAAACAGCTCCCACTGCCCCTTTGCTAATTCATTCTCGGTGTAATTATCTGCTAGTGAGCTTTATGCAAAGGAAAACAGAACTGCCAAGAACATGCAGCTTACTGGCTCTAAAGTGCTAGATTCAAGAGATGGGTTATTCCCCTTCCCTGAAAGCTCCTTTCTTTGCAAACAAAATCTGTTTTCCTGATGGGCTGATGATAGGATCTCTGCAAGGGAGAGAAGGGTGTTTTCCTGCAGGAAGCATGGTGCTGGTGTAACCCACATCTGCTGAAGTAATTGGTGACAATCTACTTACACCAATGCTGTATAAGGTCTAGCATGTTTTCAAGCTCAATTTACTCCATAGAGTCAAATATTGCAGTCAAATATGGACAAATAGTACAGTGCTCTTACTCTCCTTTGGCACCGGACCCCGTTCTGTGAGTAGCCCCATCCATATTAGCCCAGGAGGCGAGGTGTTCTTACAAAGAAGCAAAACCATTTTGCTTTTATTCTTCTCTGGTTCCTTTTCTGTGGTTCACTTGTTTTTGACTTTGTTCTCTTTCTCCTTCCCTTCTCCTCTTCCCCTGCTTCCCAGGTGATGCAGTTTGGAAGGATTGATGGCAATGCTTACATTTTGGACTTTCAGTACCCATTTTCTGCAGTGCAAGCCTTTGCTGTTGCTCTGGCTAATGTGACTCAACGCCTCAAATGAACAAGCAGAGACTGGAGAGAGGAAAATGTTAACCTTCTCATAAAGTCCAAACCGGAAAATGTCAGGGCAGCCTGCTTTGGGTGTGCAGAGGTGCCTGGGAGCGAAGAAGAAGAAGGCAGTAAAACTGGAATAGTCTCGTGGTGCCCAACAGAAGGGCATTAACTCTAATCAGTCATGGGGTGGAGGGTGGGGGGCTGTTTTCTGTTTTGTTTGTTTGTTCGTTCGTTTGTTTGTTTTCAGGTGTTTCTTTTTTTCTTTTTTTTTTTTCTTCTTAAGCGTTGTGCTGGGTCTCAGAAAGAGCAAAGGGTTGAGAGCCGTTCGGTGTTACGTGGGGAAGTGTGGCTTTTGGCTTGTTGTGGTGGTTCTGCCGTGTTTGCTACAGTAGCTGGTGTAAACTCACAGGGGGATTAAAAAAGACTGCTCTTTTTGATAGACTGCCTTATATCATGCTGTTCTTTTTAAAACAGGGAACATAACTTTTTTTCTGGTCCAGTTTGTACTACTACTACTTACTACTACAACAACATCAATGATAGCAGCAAAAAAAAAAAAAAAAGGAAAAAAAAAAAAGAAGCTGTAATACTTCTAGACATGTGTTTCTTCTCTGATCTCTGATAAAAACTGAGCACCACAAGTTCCAAGGAGGCTTATGTAGGTCAATGTTTAATTTATAAATAATGATGTATTATTCAAAAGAGAAACAAAATTGTTACCAATGTGTGGTTTTGAAACCCACCGTGTCGAAGAAGTTGATGTCTGCTTGTTTTGTGTGCCGTTATTGGGGATAAACATCTTTCAGTAGGGACAGAAGATAGAGGAGGAAATAATTGCAAGCGTTGCTTCTTTTGTTATTGGGGATAAACCTCTTTCAGTCGGTGAACAGAAAGTAGGGGAGGAAGTAATTATGAGCGTTGCTTCTTTGCTCGTATTGACCAGCAGTATTCTCTGATTTGGCCCGTGGTTGGGAGAGGTACAGTGTGACCAGATGTACCTCTGAGGCCATGCCTGTACATGCTCCTCATTTCAGTGTGTTTACACTTTATAAACAAAGTCTTTCAAGCGAACGAGAAGGCCCAGAGTGTTCAGTCTTGGCAATCAGTATGAATCAAGTTCTACAACAGTATATCAGTGCTCGAATTAGGAAGGAGACAGAAGATTGCAAGTCGTTACAGGAAGCAGTTTCATCAGGAAAGCAATTTCATGACAGGAAACATCATGGCTGGCTGGAGAACAAATGAGTTGAAAGAGGAAGGAAAAATTGGACAGAATCATCCCTTTTATCACCTTGCTACTTGAGTAGTCTTTTTGACAGTGGTTTGAGAATATAACACTCCAGCTGAGAGTGAGAAGCCAAAGTTTACATGGAGTGTTACAGAGGAAGGCTTAAAAACCATAGCATGACTCTGCAGTTCTTTCTGGTGGACATGCAGACCTGTTGAGCATTTCAGAAGAGTTGCTTACACAGAATTTCTGTGTTGTCCATGCGTTGTGCACATATTTATTTGCTTTCTCTCCACCTCGCCTGCATTAGATGGAATATGTTTTGATATGGAAGTAGTTTCCCCAGTAATACACAAACGCCAAAAGTGCTCACGTCATAGTAACTCTCTTGAAGTGAAAGGCACACTGAGAAAGTCATGTTGGTTGAGGTGTTGATGGCTACTTCGTCTTTGTCTTTCATCCACAGTTTAACTTCTTACTTGAAAAACTCAGTATAACTTAAGGTGAATAGGTGTGATTTTTCTCTCGTTGCTTTTCTTAAGTCCTAATGACAGGGCAGATGTGTGTTGCATTTGATTCATTCTAGAGGAACATTATTGCACAGGATAAGAACCTGCAGTAATACAATTTACCAACGTGTCAGTCAGCTTATAACTTCTGCTCTGCTGAAGCTACTAGAGCTGTACAGCACAGAGGGAGGGAGTAATGCTAGTCAGAGAGGAGATGACAAGGCAGGTCATCCACAAGTAACATCCCGCAGGGTAAGTCCAGGAAAAACCAACTGCAAGATGTTTTCCTTGGAGGGAGGAAGCAGAGGCAGGAAGGAAGGAGGGGGAAGTAGATGGTACCGCGCCGGTATTACCCCAAAGCTCAGCAGGTTCTCCTTGCGTGTTGGAGTGGTCAGGCACAACATTCCCCTTGGCATCTAGCAGATTGTTGTTTGCTTTGATTAATTTTGTTGAGTTTCCATCAGTTGTCTGGGCCCATTTCTGTTCTTTCTCACGTGCGTGATTTATTCAGCAGTTTGAGTGCCCGTACGTATAATGTGTGTGGAACAGAGGAACCAAAGTGGATTTGGTTCCAGTCCCTTCAAAATCAATGAAAGTGTTTCTCTTGGACTTTTGTGGAGGAGACACTGTTGAGCCCTTTGTCTATATTGAGTTATAACCTGTAAAAGCAGTCAGGTGAATTTTCTAATTAGAGTACAACACCATACAATGAACACCACAAGAGAAGAAACAGACCATGGCTTGCTTGTTGAGGGAATGGCCACTCAGTCACGTTAGAAATCTTTGTCTGGAAGGAACATCACCTGTAGTTTTAAGCCAAAATTTTTATTACATGGAAACAGCACGTTGTGGGGTTTTTTCTGAACAAAATCTAACCTGAATAGAAGGACTTCTTGGTGCAGTTTCTTTAATCTTCACTCGTTACCAATTTTTTCCAATTATCAGTAGTTTTATGCTGATGGAGAACCAAGAAATGAAACCAAATAGAACAAGTAGCAGAATCAGGAACTTGGTTTCTTTGGCCCAAATCGTGACTGTGTCCTTCTGATGGCACTTACAGAGAGTATTGGCATAGAAGGGACCTGGTTTCTGCCCCAGCAAAGCACAAGGAATAATTATCTTAAATTAGAAAAATAAATGCAATTTCCAGCATCCTTCCCATTTACTTGTTAGAAAATCCTATAGACTAAGGTAATCTTTTATCTTTTAAAAAATAATTTAAGAGTCCCTTTAATTGAGGATTTTAATGGTATAGAGAATACCCAGTATTAGAGAGATAAAATAGTCTCAAATATATAGAATTTTAATGAAAGGAATGGGAATTATGTGAATATCTGAGTGTGCAACTGGATCCCAAGTTATACAAAGAACAAGGTCAAAGTGACCGTTGTTTCATTTTTCATTGAGATACAATATAGGAAACATTTAAAAGCCCCCTCCTGAATTAATCACTTAAATCCTGAAGATCACTATTGCATTCAGCCAAAAGATAGATGTTACATTTTATATTTCGTTAGTAAAGCCCAGTTTTTCTGTAGATAACTAAGTTCTTCTAGGAAGAATGTAGCAAAATATTCAGAAATACCTAGTTCTTTTATACATGCAGTAATTTCCAGTAAAGTATGTTTTTTCCAAAGCTTTTTTTTAGTTGTGCAATAATTGTGACAGTCTAGAGGTTTTATGGGTTTTTTGTTGGGTTTGTTTTTTGGGGTTTGGTTGGGGGTTTTTTGAGGGAATTTTGAGTGGTTTTTTTTAAAGATAATTTAATGCAGATTTCCTGTTAATGTCCAAAAGACAAATTATTTATCTTGCATTATGTAATATGTGATTTAGGGATTATTTTATTACTATATATCAGTGAGTTATACACACTTTCTTATTTATATTTAAAGAGCATCTTTGTAAGTAATTGTTTGTTAGCAGTATGTTTTACTGCAAGAAGTTAAAAACGCATCTAGGAAAACCTGGTTTTGCCGGATAGTGTGCAAAATTTCATAATGCAGGCAGGCAAAAATATTTTTTTGGTGGCTGAAGGCAGTGAGTTTGCTATGGAGGAGTGTGTAGAGGACCTCTTTGGGACCTGCAGAAATCTGTCCTTCTCCACTGTTTTCCTCCAGTGTTTCTAACTATGTATTTCAGTTGGGAGTGGTTTTGAAAATACAAGGCTTGATTTGCTTTCCATCTTCTTAGTACAGTGCTTTTTCTTGAGATAGAAAATAAGGTGGGTTATGTGATAAAAGAGGCTGGTGGGGCACTGGAAGAGGTTGCCCAGAGAAGCTGTGGCTGCCCCATCCCTGGAGGGGTTCAAGGCCAGGCTGGATGGAGCTTTGAGCAACCTGGTCTGGTGGGAGGTGTCCCTGCCCAGGGCAGGGAGGATGGAACTGGATGATCCTTAAGGTCCCTTCCAACCCAAACCAATTTGTGATTCTATGGTTCTAGGTCTACTCCAAGAGCAGTGTGCACCTGCTGCGGGGTTTGGGCTGCAGCAGCTTTGGGCAGAGAAAGCCATGCCAGTGGCCATGGTGGCCATTCAAAGTCAGAGTTTGCTCCACTGGAGTTGCAAAGGGAAGCAACAGAGAACCTGATTCTCTTGAAAAAACATGGCTGATATCCTTGAAATATAGCTTCTAACAGAGTCTAAAAATTGATGCTTTAAGTCTGGTATGAAGAGCACCATGCGTGGAGTGGCAAATTTTAGCTTGAAACTAGTGAGAATATCGTGTTTCTGCAACACCCTAAGAAACTATGAAAAGGAGGCGGGTGAAAGAGGAAGGAAGGGAATTATCACATTAATAATTTTGCACTGGGTTCCAGAGGTAGCAGTAACATCTGCCATGGGCTGCCCAAATATTGGTTGTATGACGGTAAATCTGTACACAGGTTCATCTCAGATAAATTTTCTGTGATGCAACCACAAGTAAGACAGACAGTTCCACATTTCTCTCTCCGGTTTTGTCCCATTGTTTTTACGAAGATGCATGAAGGTGTACAGGTGTCAGACAAAAATGTCTGACTTTGCTGAAGCCTTCAGCCTAGACTTTCCATAGGTCCGGGCTTTCCTTGATGTGTCTTTTTAGTGTCCTCTCAGAAACTCCAAACAGATTTTGGAGCTTGCCTGATTGTTGCCTCAGACAATTTCTGTGCATTTGCTTTTTGCAGCCTGATGTGTGTGATCCTATGTTATCTTGGTGCCCTGTTATCTGTCAGAAACAATTTAAATCCTCATATGAATAGAGCAACACGTGCAAAAACTGATTTGATTGAGAGAAGGGGGAGAGGAGACAGAGTAAGTTTTCACTCGCTTTTAAGAATGTATGTTTCCCAGAGCAACAGTTTAGAAATTGCACTTTTCTGCAGTGCCCAGACCACTCCAGACCAGTAAATCTGACATGGAGGTTAGTAACATATGAGTCACGTGTGTGACATCCTGACAGAGGGCCAGCTTCCAGCCTCACTACGCCAAGATACATAAGAGAGTAGGATCCAACCCAAAATGTACTTTCCCATTACTGTGTGATTATAAAGTAAGAATGACTTACATGACCCATATATCCACTTAAGAAAATTATAAAGCATTAGCCAACAACTAAACTGACAGTTCCATGTAACTCCCCTGAAGAATGCGAGAGGTAAAATCCTGGCCATAGAGCAGTCATTCAGATTTTTGCCTTTTTCTTCCCATTTCTAGGATTCCATCACAGCTGTTTATGTTATTTAGAGATCGGCAGAATGGTTTCCCCAGGGTAAGAGAGCAAATGCTGTCATACTGCTGACACAAAAAATGGAAAAATTCTGGTAGATGAATTTTTTCATTTTCAAGTCCCTTCACCTTCAAGGCAAGCACAATCCTCCATCAGCAAATACTGATCTAGAGTCCTGCCACCCCCAGGAGTAGTCAGCAGGTAGACACCACAAGTCCTTTTTTGCAGGATTGGAATTTACACCCACCATTCTCAAAGGAGTAAGATTAATTACTACTTGTGAGCAATGGGCTATGCAAATTATTTTGTCTTTGTATTTATTTAATTTTCTTCTTAAAAAAAAAAAAATCCTGCAGGGAAGTTTTCAGATTAAAAGACAGCTTTGCGTGTTGCCTGATATCTCTGAAGGTGTATCAGGAGATAATTTCTTTGGGCAGTTTGATTGTTGCTGCAGCTAGAAAATTAGATTTTTAAGACAAAAGCAATTAACCAAATAAAAGAATGAAATAGGATGCAGTGAAGCAATTCTTGCTAAGAAAATTAAAAACTTCACCCTTCAACTTTTGATTTTGCAAACGGATCTATAATGAGAAATTTGTGCTTCAAGGCAAATTGATTGTTGTTGAGCACTATACAAGTGCGCAGATTTGCTGACCCAGAGCCGACTGCAGGATCAAAACATGATTTTGTGAGACTTAAAATTAAATAAATGAAAACACCAATTACTTACCTATCCAAAGCATTCAATGAAAAAATGAGATGGTATGATGTTAAAGCCTGCCAATTTATTCTTAATCCTTGCCCTCCAATTTACGTTATTACAAATTTTAAAATCTGATCTGATTCAGCAATTCTGAATCCTGTTGTCTATTTGTGGAATGTTTATCTTACTGGCCAAGAAGATGGTTTAAGATACGGATTAAGTAATGATAAAAGAGAAACATTTTTGAACAGTGTGCAGACACCTGAGTTTCAAGTATTTCATTGGAATAGTGCTCGGCTTGTAATTCCTACATACATTGTTTCAAGTTTTTCATTCAGAACTTTCCTAATTTTCCATTTGTTTCTTTTGTTTGCTTGATACATGTTTTGGTTTTCGTTTCCTTTTGTTTCACTATTTCTGCATTCTCTGCTTCTTTTCCTTTTTCTGTGTTGTGCGTTTGGGGAAGGGTATGTCTGTTCATGATCTCGTTGTTTATTGTAGATAAAATATATGGTGTTGTGGAATAGCATGGAGATGCATTTGATTGAAAAGGCACTGTAGTGTTTCCTGAAAAAGAAGGGGAGTTGCATTTGTTTATAAATGCATTATTTTGGTACTATAACCTTGAACATTATTTTGGAATTTTCTTTTCTTTTTTTTTCTTTTTTTTTTTCTTCTTTTCTTTTAATTTAATGAGCATATAGTCATGCAGGTGCATGCGTTCTTAAGCTAGCAAGCCCAGCATGTTTTTCTTAAGGCTTTTGGAAATTTGGTACACAATTTGTGTACTTTTACATACCTATACTATTTTTTAAATCTATTTTTTTGGAATGAATTTTCTTTTCTTTTCTTTTCTTTTTTTTTCTTTTTTTTTTTCTTCTTTTCTTTTAATTTAATGAGCATATAGTCATGCAGGTGCATGCGTTCTTAAGCTAGCAAGCCCAGCATGTTTTTCTTAAGGCTTTTGGAAATTTGGTACACAATTTGTGTACTTTTACATACCTATACTATTTTTTAAATCTATTTTTTTGGAACCTCAAGTTTTCTTCTTTTTTTCCCTCCTCAGTATACCATGGTATACCTGGTTTCCATTGTACTTAAAAACTACCCTGACCTGCCTCTCCTTTTATGTATCTTGTGTAATAGATTTTGCAGGAGGTGCCTAGAAAGCGTTGTTGGTTTCCCTATAAAAATGTGGTTTGTCCAAATTCTTTACTGTCTACATGATTGAGAGAATGGACTGATTGCCCTATTTTTCCTTGATGATTTGGAGTTGTAAGAGTTGTCCAGCTGTTGCTTAATAAAATTTTGCAGACTAGAAAAGTCCTGACTTGTTTTTTGTTGTATTCTGCATCTCGTCAAGCACCTTAAATACTTTGAAAGCTGGTGACAAATCCGGGCTGGAACGACCTGAATAAAAAATGGCCAGTCAATAAAAAGCCGTCGTGCTTTCTCTTTTCACTAATAAGTTCCACTGAACCTGATGCGTGTACCAGCCCATCATACGTTGTGTCATTCACATGGGAGGATGGATGGCAAAGGTTTCATGGTAATGATGTTCCTGTCTGCCTGGATATCAGCCCATTCTTGTGTGCTTCTCCTCTGCTTGTGTTCCTTTTTAAGGAGATTACCTTTGGGGTTTGTGGTACTTCTCGTTTTGTCGTTGATACACTGGAAACTCTAATGTTACCACGAGGGATTCTTCTGTCCTGTTGTCTTTAATAACAGAATAAAATGCTGTGATGGCCAGTGTTCATTCTCTGGTTTTGACCTAAAATAACCGTTCTGGGGGCTGAGGAAATGAGAAAAGGTAGTAAAGTAGCTTACCTTGCATAATAAACATCCCAGTTATGGCACAAATGAGAGAATCCTGGCCTGGATCCTTGTGATGGAGTTTTGCAGGGGTCTGTGCTGGATCCTCACCTGTTCACCGTATTGGTGGGTGGCCTTGAGACTCGAGTTTGAACACTGAGCTACAAAATTTACAGATGATACGGAGTTATTCAAAATAGTAGAGACAATGGCCAATTGCCGAGAATCTCAGAAAGTCTTTATGAAACTTGTCAATTAAATGACAGGTGAAACTCAGGTGAATGCAAAGTGATAGACATGGGGGAAACAACGGTTCCAACGTGGCGTTTGCGGTAATGGCCTCTGAAGTGGCCTCTGTTACTCAGATTGGTGGTTGTTGATAATAATGCTGTCTTCTTTTTATGATTTAGATGAATACAAGGGCTGTTTGTCCCCAGTGCCCTCTATTTATGCTGTCTGGTTTAGAGGTCAGAAGGACATGAGCAGACACGTGCAGTGAGGGAACAATATTTAAGCAGGGGCTTTTTAAGAAGAAACTGGGAATACAACAGCTATACATATAGTTAAGCTTGTATATATGATTTAATAAATACTGGATAGATCATGAGCTTTTTCACCAAGACAGGTTATTGTTGGTGTTCTCTGGTTAATGGCATATTCCTTTTTTTTTGTTGGCATTACTATCAAAATAACTGTCAATATTAAAATAACAATTTCTACTTACTGCTCATTTTTTCAACAGCAGCCCAGCTTTCATTATGCAATCTTAATGGGATGCACTCAGGAGTTAAGTAATTACCTAGTTGTGAGGGAGTTGTACAAGATTACTAAAAAAAAAAGGAGCACTTCATACCAATCAAGATTTGTCTCAGACCTTTCATCTCGCTCCCCATCCAGTATAGCTGTTTACTTCATCTTCTCATTTTCTGTTCTGTTTAAAACAGACGCATTTCAAATCTTTTTTTCATTTGATCAAAGGGAAGCCTATTCATCCGGGGGAGTGTTTTGCTTTGTTGCATCTCCTGATATTTTTATCCTTTCCAGCTGTTCCACGTTTTCTTCCATTTCTCACTTCCCCATGGACAAGGAGGAAAGTGAGATTTGAACTGAAGTAAGAAACATTTCTTTGTTCTTCTCCTTTCTCATTGCACTCTTGAGGTGATAGTCCTTTCTCTTAAAACAAGAGTATCTTAGTTCCCTTTGTTGCACAGTTTTGGTGAGATTAATTTCTTCTTTTTCCTTTCAAAGCCATTTAGGACTTTCTAACTTTTTTGTAATCTGAAAGGCTGAAAAAGTCTGTATGAGGGGGTTGTAGCAAAGATACTAAAGTGATTTAGACATCATGGAGTCTTCTAATTGCTTCACGCAGAGACTGCCAAATGCAGTATCATCTTAAGAAGTCGTGTAACTGTGATTTGACTTCTAGGTGACTTCTCTCTCATTTTATGATGCTTTCTAATGAGGGAAATCTTTGTTTTCAGCAGATCTATGAACATACCTTAAGATTTTTCTCCTTGAGCTGGTGTGGTAGCTGGTATAGTGTAACTGTGATTTGACTTCTTCTCTCTCATTTTATGATGCTTTCTCATGAGGAAAGCATCTTTGTTTTCATCAGACCTATGAACATACCTTAACATTTTTCTCCTTGAGCTGGTGTGGTAGCTGGTATAATCTGAGGTGGCAAGCATTCATTTTGACGGGCTTTATCTGTATGGCTTAGAGAGTCACTAAAACCAAGATTCCAGTTTTCTGGAGAGGAACTCTTTGTCAGGAAGTGTAGCGATAGGACAAGGAGTAATGGTTTTAAATTGAAAGAGGGGAGATTTAGATCTAGAAATAAATTCTTTCCTGTGAGGGTGGTGAGACACTGGAACAGGTTGCCCAGAGAAGCTGTGGCTGCCCCATCCCTGGAGGGGTTCAAGGCCAGGCTGGATGGGGCTTTGAGCAACCTGGTCTGGTGGGAGGTGTCCCTGCCCATGGCAGGGGGGTTGGAACTGGGTGATCTTTAAGGTCCCTTCCAACTCGAACCATTCTATGATTTTATGATTCTTCATAAATCCACTGCTAGTATTCCTGTTTATATATTACTAATAATTCTGTCCACAGTTTATAAAATATACAGGTTTTAGCAGATTTGAACTGTGTCTGATCAACAGAACATGTCAGTGAGTGTGAAAAAAAGAGTGGACGTCTTTCCAAAAACTGTGGTGTATGTATAAATCCCAGTGGAATTGCTGCTCTGAACTTCAGAAGTTCCAGATACCTATGAAGTGTCCTCTCAGACTATAAACTGAGAGAACATCCTTCAGAGAGCTGCCAGAATCCAGGATTGGATTCCACTTCTGGAGCTCATGGGAAACTTGAGTGAGAGTAAAATGCCTGGCACTGAGTGTCATCTGAAGTACCACAGTATGTTCATGATGAAAAAGCTCTCCAAAGAACAAGGCAATAGCAACTGAGAAGGGAGAGTCTTCTGGGAAGTCATTGAAGCTGCCAGGAATTGATTAGCAGTGTGTGAGACAGAATATACCTTACTTCAGAAGAAGTAGGGATAAAACCCATGAGATGATGCATTAGTGTAAATCACTTGTATTCAGATATCTCAATGCAATATCTACAGTCATGGTCATCTGTGCCATCATCACTAGAAACAGAGGAGCCATGGAAATTTATTTTTTTTTTTGCAGAAATTGTTACTGTGTGAATATTAAATGTGAAGAGAACAAAAATAAAATTCTAGAAGATGATGGAAATTATTATTTAAAATTCAATATTCTGAAATAGAAGATGTTGCCTATTAAGAGCTGTTTGCATCCATTA